TGGAGCCTAACCAGTGAGCTGTCCTGGTCACTGTGCTGCCCAGGTCCACAGTTTCTGCTTCCTCCTCCTCCTCTGCGGAGGCCAGCCGCTGCTCCACTTGCTGACCAAGGACACGGTCCATTTCCATGGCACCTGCTCCGACAGCCCGGTCAAGTGGCTGCACCCTGACGACTCTTCTCTCCGTCAGCTGTGACTCCCTGGCTCTGGGCAGGAGAAGAGTTTGTGTGTCCTGGACACTCTGGGCTTCACGCTGTGAGGTCTGTGTCCTACTGAACCTCCGGGCCGGTGCACCCTGCTCAGGTGGGGGTTGTGCCCTGGGCCTGCCGACACAATGCTGCCAAAGTGGGCCCTGCACACAGAGGGGTGCAAGTGGGGCTCCCACAAGCCCTCCGACACCAGGGACCGGAAGCCAGGGCCACCTCACTGCTTTGGGGTGGGGGCATTAGCTTTTTGCTGAGCCTCTGACCCTGGACAACAAGTCTCCCACATCTTGCTTTGTCCTTTTGATGGCACCAAGTCGGGGTGGGTTCCGCGCCCCACTTGCCCGCTGACACCCATGGCAGGGAAATCAGAGTGGTGTCTATGCCTGCTGAGCAGGGCCTGGGAGGCGGCCCACATTTGGTCGTGCTGGCGGGGGACAGTGAGCCCCGTGGACCCAGCTGACACTGCTGAGTGCTACCCCTGCAGCTGGGGGCAGGGGAGGGGACACCTGAGTGCGGTCCAGGTCCATGGGCTGCAGTAAGGAAACAGGGGGCTTGCACCATGCCCTTCCTCAATCCCGGGGTCCCCGTGCAGGCCGCCCTCTCCCAGCTTCTAGGGTCCCCTTGCTGCTGGGTCAGGTCAGAGTGTGGAGTCGTGAGGAGGAGGACCGGGGAGGGACGGCTACTCCCTTGGACAAGACTGGAAGTTGAAGACCGGTTTGAAAGCCAGTGACACCACAGCCTCCTCAGCACTTCGGCCTACGCCCTCTCTCCCGTCTGTGCGGAACACCAGAGGCTCCCATCAAACCTGGAGGGGGCAGCGGGTCTCTGGGCTGAGATCCCGGTGAACAGGGGATTACAGGACGTGTCCACGGTGCTGCTGAGCTCCCAGAGGAGGGCAGCACCCACACCCTCCAGACAGGAGGCCTCCAGAGACGTGCCAGGCCATCAGGGCAATGGCCCAGCCAGGGTGTGTCCAAGAGGCTCCAGAGCTCCTCCGGCAGCCCGAGCAGACACCTGGCACTGCCATGCGCTTGAGGGGCACCTGAGTGGAAGACGGGGGTCTGAGCCTCCAGGCAGACAGAAAACAGCAACACGAGGGGAACAGACCACATGGAGAGAAGAGAGCCTCAGAAAGTCCCGCTGCTCCGTCAGAGACCGTGAGCATGCAGACGCTTCCCACTCACAAGAAGAAATGGTAGGACAGAAACTCAGGAAGTAAACAGGAAAGCAGAAATCAAACACGGTTCATGAATTGAAGAAAATTTTACAGAGAGTAGAGCAAAAGATGGAAAACAGAGTAAAAATATTTTTAAAACAGAGAATTCAGGAAGTTCAACATCCAAGTAATAGTTTCAGAAAGAACAGAGAAAATGGCAGGGAAAAAATAATCAGTAACTCAAGATAAATCCCAAGAACTGGATGAGACCAGGCGGAAAGGCCACCGAATGCCCAGCACAGCACCCAGGAGACCCACCCACAGCACAGCGCCAGGACATTTGCGCACACGGGGACAGGAGAAGGTTCTCCAGGCCGCCGAGAACAGACCAGGCACAGGCCAAGGACCCAGGTCTGAAGGGCTTTCTCCAGGGCAGGAGGGCCTCCCTGGCCCATTGCTGAGTCAGCGCAAGGAGCAGGGACCTGCTCATTCCAATGCAGTTACCAGGCTCTCCACGAGGGTCACTCCCTCCATCCTGCAGAGCTTCAGCCTGGGAAGGCTTGTGACTACTGGCAGCAAGGCTGTGGGTGGGCAGAGGGAGGCCAGCTTTGGTTGTCAGGGTGCCGCTCAGGGTGGTCCTGATGGGGCTGCTGGTGAATGGTGTGAGGCCGAGACGGCGCCTCAAGGTTCACCCTGGCCTCCCATCAAAGCTGAGACACCGGTGCTGGCTGGGAGCTCATGGCTGGCGCCCTCTGGACAGAGCCCTCAGGCCAGGAGCACTACCTACAGATGGGACTGGGCACTGAGGCCCAGGCCTAGGCAGCAGCATGTCTGAGACAGAGGCAGGTGGCGCTCTGAAAGCCACACTGGGCGGGACTGTGCAGCCCCTCCCGCCCAGCGACACCCGTCTCAGACTGGCTCCTGCCCTGGAAGCTCAGGGCGGGCTGTCTCCCTGACTGCAGTCCCATGGCAGGTGGAAAGCATGGGTGTGTAACAAGGGTGCCTTCAATAAAAAGATGTTTAAGAACAGAATCTAAAAGCTTAACACCTTGCAGTCTGGAAAGGATGTGGGTGGGACCACAGGACGCCACGCCTCGTCCTCCGAAGGGGAACGTTGGACCTCTGCAGCAGGGGCTCCGCACAGCGAGGAAGGCGGGTGCGGGCGGGTGCTGGGGCCTGCGTGGGTGCGGCTGCTACATCCATAGACAGTGCTGGGGATTTGTTCGAGTTGCTCCTTGACAGCAAAAGCAAGAGCCCAGATCTGTTCCCCGTGCTGCGGTGGGGCCACCAAACATGCACAGGAAGGGGAGTGAGCTGATGGGGAGTCTCGGCCAGGAGGAGCAGGGATGATTCAGGGAAGGGGGCTACAAGGCCAGGCACCTGGCGACATTGTGGATGAGACTGCACGGGGACACAAATGAGGTGCAGGGGCAAGCCCTGCCCGGGCCTGGGTCCTGTTGCTGTGCTGGGGGTTCCTCCCAAAGCCTGTCAGTCTGCTGCCAGGGCTGAGAGGGACCCCAATTGCTCTCCAGCCCCACAGGAGCGGTTGGAAACGGGGCAACGTGCGGCCTGCCCTAGTGATGCGCTCACACCAACGTCGGCCGGATTCCTATTAATGAGCCCGAGTCTCCACAGCTTGATGTAAAGTGGTTAGAAGTAAAGCGTTCCTCTTAGACTTTACAAAATAAGCAAACATGACTAACCCCATGTGCCAGCCCACAGACATGGGACACACACCTGCTGTGCCAATGTCACCGCAGAAGGCTGGCTGGGAGCAGGGCGGGGGGCGGCACAGGGACCACGGCTCCTAGTCTGTGGCCGCTGCTCCTGGGGAAGGATGTGAAGGACACCTGCCGCCCAGATCTCATCACCTTCATCCACCCGCCACCCAGCTGCGGCTCCAGGGGTGAGGGACGCGGGTCCACGTGCATAACAGGGCATTCAAGGCCCTCAGGACTGGAACCAGCCCTGCCAGCCCTGTCCCCCAGGACTTCAGACGCCATGAAGCCCTGGTTGAAGCTCGTCTGCACCCTAGGCCCTGGCCTTGCCTGAGCCCTTAACCGGTCAAGACTGGCTCAGAGGCCACACCCCTCGGACGCCCTCTAGACCACCCTGATAACAACGGTCTTCAAAACCAGACAGGGGCTGCTCCTGGAAGCCAGGGGGCAGGATGGTGTGTCGTTCATTTCTGGCACTCGGCTGGGAGACAGAGGGGCACCCTTGCCAGGTCCCTCTGGTGCCACCCCGCCCTGGGAAGTTTTAGCTGCAAATGAGGCCGTGCCCCTCTGGTTGGGCACCTGGCCTGAGCCTGTGCCTGCACCTGCGCTCCACGGGGCCTCTCCTGCGACCCCAGTCCTTTCCTCCCCCAGGTCCTCACACACTGTCTCCTTGGCCCCAGCCCCCTGGGGAGTTGCCCCATGCCCCACGGGGGGTAAGATCCTGCAGATGCCTGCCACAGTCCCACAGCCTGTCCTCACACGGGCACAACCACATGCGAACAATGCCCCCAAGTTCTGGCTAAACTGCAAAACCCAGGACACAGAGAAGACGGGCCGGGCCTCAGCGTGATCTCATTCCCATACTTGGCCCTGAGGACGTCTCTCAACAAGCGAGGGGCTTAATGAATGAGGAGCACGCAAGCAGTGGCAGAAGCTGGTGGGACCCCGAAGACGGCTGGCTATCAGGCCCCAGCCCACACACAAGCAATGCTGAGGCCATGAGGGTGAGGACTGAGTGCAGGGAGGTTAGAGCTCGTCACTGGGCACCCACGGTGGGCCTGGACACCACAGATGACCTCATGACAGGGTGACTCAGCTGTGCTGCTCAGCCATGGGCCAGCCAGCTCCCCTCCCTAAACGCCACGCCATCCCTCCTGTGACTAAGGTCTCCATCCGTCCAGTGGGCACAGAGCTGCCTGGGTCCCGAGTCAGGCAGGCAGCTCCTGAAGTAGGACCTGGATGCCCGTGCTGGCCCGAGGCAGAGGCTGAGCCGGAGCTGGCTGATGGCCCCGGGGTGCCCGACACCCTTGGCTGCATTTATTCTTTACCCTGCACCCAGAGATTCTGGGGGACGCTGTCCACTTGCCCATCAGCCACTTTCCAGTGACCACTTGGGACCCGAGGAGAGTGGGAGCAGGTCTGTAGCCAGGCAGGGATCAGAAGGGACCCTGGGGAGGGCTGCTGCGCCACGCCTCTCCGCAGACATGCAGACAGAGCGCGGCACCAGGAGGGAGCAGGTCTGTAGCCAGGCAGGGATCAGAAGGGACCTGGGGAGGGCTGCTGCGCCACGCCTCTCCGCAGGCATGCAGACAGAGCGCGGCACCAGGAGGGAGCAGGTCTGGTCGGCTGCTGCTCTGTGAAGAATCTCCTCTGGAGCTGGCTTTGACCGAGTGCAGCACACAGGCGGAAGGGTGGCAACAGGGACAGGCCCATCGGAAGGCACGTGACAGGAGCACTCTGCTCTCTCCCAGCCTGGGGACACCGAGGCCCGCTGTCCACACCAGCCTGAGAAAGGGCGCTGAGAAAGGCCCAAGGCAGGGACAAGCTTCTGTGCAGAGAAGAAGCTGAGTGCACAGGCTGGGACTGAAGAAGAAAGTGTCCAGGAGGTGGCAAAGGGCCAGGGGCTGGCGGGTGGGCACGTACCTGAGCTCGCTCACCTCCTCCTTGGACAGCAGGGCGCTCTGCTCAGCAGGGCCGGCCTGGGACCGCAGCACCTTCAGCTCCATCTCCAGCTGTGAGGAAACAGCGTGGTCAGCTCCAGCGGGCTGTGCAGCCCTCCCCGCCCCGCCCTGGAAATCCAGGGGGGGCCCCACCCCTGCAGGGAGGCACCCATGCTGCCAGACCCTCCCGTCCTCCAGCTGAGACACTACCGCCTTCCCTTCCCAGCACCACCATTCTGGGGTGTACGAGGGACCTCAGAATCGGAGGAGGGGACTCAGCAAGTGGAAGGAACACGCAAAACTCAGCAATGCTCTGGGCGGCTTTAAAAATCATGGCATTTTGTTGGGTACACCAAATCCTGCTCAGAATGACAGGCTGCGTTCAGAGAATGATCTGAGGTAGAGTCCACATCCCCAGAGCATGGTGACATTCCTCGTTTTCCTGACTTTCCCCTCATTTGACTCTGCGAGTCCTGCCCCTGCCCTCCATCTCCCTGTGCCCGGCCCCTCCACTCGGCGCACTGGTCCCTGAGCCCCGGGGCCCCAGCTTCACGGATTCCGCTGGATCACGACGTTTTATTTCTCAACATGTTTCAGAGACGATTCCATCTGCTCAGTGTCAGCTCACCCTGCAAACTGTTTTGGCTTTTATAAAATTCTATGATGTTGCCTTTATTGCTCATCACTGAAGACATGTTTTACTCGATCCAGCTTTGTGAAGAGGTTCCTACTGTTGAAGGACTGGTATTTTCTGTTTCCTTTCAACCTGAAGGGTGGACTGAGTGAGTCCCAGCTGCCCTCGTCACTTCCCTGGTGAGAAGGGTGGCTGTCCCAGGAGGGCCCTGCTCCAGCCGCCCCGCTGTCCACAGGGCTGCGGGCACGGGGTGCCCTCAGGGTGAGGGCTCCACCAGGCGCCCCTTCCAACCTGGGCAGAGCCCCTCCCCACAGTTGGCAGCTTGGCTTCTCCTGCACGTGTGTGCTCCCTCCCCGCTGGGGCCCGGCTTCCCCCTGCTTAGGAGCGTGGGTTTTAGCCATACTTCTGTTTTGCCCAATTCTGTTTGCCTTTCTGGTTCTCATTCTCCTTGGTACTTCTGGATGCTTCCCAGAAAGAAGAGGGGCCTGCTGACTGACGCCAGTGTTCACAGAAAACCAGGCCCTTTATCTTAACTTGTAACCCTGAACCCATAACTCTGAGCCTCCTGCCCCGTGTCCCCGACACCCCCACCTCCCCTGTCCACAGCCCACACAGGCAGCCCCGAGAGCTCCCAGAACACCCTGCACCTCCCCATCCACAGGTCCGTTTTTCATTGGTGCCCCAGTTCCCATCCACCGCTTCATCCCCCTCAGATGCCACCTTCTCCACCAACACCCCCCAAGCGGGGAGTGCCCTCACCCATGTATTCAACCTCGAAAGTTGACAACTTATTCACGGGATTTTTCAGCCTGTTCCCAGCCCAGGACTTGGCAGACAGGCGGTGCCTGCTGCAGGCAGGGCCGCGGAGCACGTGGGTCTGGGGGTGCCAGGGAATGCCTGACTCCCAGGGCCCTTGGCCATGCAGCCCGTCCCGGGGGCAGTGCGGCTTGGGTGGGAGCATGGAGCCAGCGGTGGGTTCTGAAAGGACAGAGTCAACGCGTGGGCTGGAGTCCGTCCAGACAGAAACGTCTGGAGCCAACGGCCTACTAGTCACCCAGTAAAGAGACAGTCTCAGCACATCTGTACGTGAAGGAGAAGAACCAGTCAGACGGAGAAGAAGGCTGCTGAAAGATGAGCATGGATAAGGTTCAGGGGAGACCTGGGGGAGCCGCTGGATGGTGGGGTGCCCTCGGCTAGTGTGAGCTGGCCCGGTGCCATCGGGGGTACAGGGCGACGGGAGGGCTGAGATGCACTGGCCCTGCCACCCACACCTCACCGAGAAAGATCTGCATGGAACGTCTGAGAACAAGGAGCCAGGACTCACTGGGCTGCACCCTCTGAGACCCTGCACAACGGCAGAACGGGGAGGCCCTCCTCTAGGGCTCACCACGGACTCAGTGTACCCCAGCAAAGGACTGCACGTGGCAGGCTGGGCCCCAGGTGCAGCCCGTGGTGGGGAATGGGACGGGGACCCGGGCCTGCACCCTGCTTCCCTTCCAGACTGCACCTCTGAGAGAGCGGGCTGGCCAGCCCATTTCCAATCCTCGAAGCTAACACACAGATTTGTATTCCTTTCTCGGGCTCCTCTCCTAAACAAGAGGCATAATTACCAGCCTTGCCTGCTGCAAACGAATCAAGTGCCTGGGGAGCAGGGCTGCTGCTCAGACCAGACGCCGCTGACACGGGGAGGAGGTGGCTCCATGGCCCCAGGAAAGCTGGGCAAGTAACCCACAGCTACTGCAGGCCCCGGGGCAGCGGGGCTCCTCTTCACGGCCCCTTCCGGGCCCCTGCTCCTTTGCTCAGCAGGTGAGACAGCAGTGGCCATGGGAGGCTACGGCTCCTCCAAAGCCAAGTGGACGCCCCCCTCCGAGGCGCCACACTCACCACTGCCCCACACCGCGTCCTGGAGCCACCTGAGCTGCAACTCCAGCCGTGCACGAGGCGGGTGAGAAGGCACCAAGCCCTCTGGGGGCCTGGCCGATCAAGCCAACCTTGCCCTGGCGGCACCAGAAGTGGTGCCAGGAGCTCAGGCTGCGACGGCCCAGCTCCAGCCCTTACCCTGTAGGCTCAGAGCTCTTGGAGCCTGTCTTCTCGACCTTGAAGAGGTGGTGACACCTGTGTCACAGGTTGCACGAGGAAGGAGGTAGATGGCCCCTGGACGAAAGCGGACCAACTGCCTGCCCACATGCAGGAGACAGGACACCACTGTCATGGTCTCTGCTGGTGGGGCAGATGTGCAGGGATAGCAGAAAGCAGCCTGTGCAGCTTCTGCTGGTTTGCCCACAGCCAGGATTTTGGGGACCTGGGCTCCCAGAAACATACACCCAGCTCCCAGGGAGTCTTTGGAGCCAGGCAGCACAACCTCAGAGCCTGGTGCCAGTGTGTCAGGGAGCCTTGGCAAAGGGCGGCAGAGCTCAGGGCTCCAATCACAGGCACCCAGAAGCCACCCCTCAGTTTGGACCAAGCCCAGGAGCTGCAGGGTGATGCTGCCTTTGAGTATCCCCTACAGCCCTGGCCGGTGTGGCTCCGTGGTAGAGCTTCAGTCTGCAGACAAAAGAGTTGTGGGTTCGATTCTGGTCAAGGGCACATACTTTGGTTGCGGTTCGTCCGCAGCCCTGGTAGGGGTCATGCAGGAGGCAACCAGTCGATGTGTCCCCTTCATGTTGCTGTTTCTCTTTCTCTCCCTTTCTCCCTCCCACTCTATCTGAAGATAAACAGAAAAATATCCTCGGGTGAGGATTAAAAAAGAGAAAGTATCCCCTACACCAGAGGCCAAGACACATCTGGAGTCCATCCACAGGCCTGCGCCCAGGCTGTGGTGTGCACACGCAGCTGTAGGCACGCACAGAAAGTGGCCAGCTGCTCGGCCGTGAGCACATCTACACGGAGTCGAGGCAGCTTGCCCACTCAGGACAGCAAGGGCCCACGAGTGGCAATAATTTGCCCTAGAATGAGCACTGTATAGGGCAGCCAGAATGTCATAAATGGCCACAGAAAGCTCAAACCATTTCCAAGTAGCTTCCCTCACCCTGAAGAAAGCTCAGAGTCTTTATAAGATACAAAGTGTCCCGTATCCTTCCCTGCACCCTGAACAAGCTCAGAGTCTTCTTTTTTTTTTTTTTTCCTTTTAATCCTCACTTGAGGACATTTTTCCATTTTTGTTCAGATAGAGTGGAAGGGAGAGAGAGAAAAACATCGACGTGAAAGGGACACATTGAGTGGCTGCCTCCCACACGACCCCAACCAGGGCCGGGGATGAACTGCAACTGAGGTACATGCCCTTGACCAGAATCGAACCTGCGGCACATTGGTCCGTGGGCCGACACTCTAGTTGCTGAGCAAAACCAGCCAGGGAAGCTCAGAGTCTTTGTAAGATACAAAGTGTCCCGTACCCTTCCCTGTACTTAACAAGCACAGCACCCACCTTGGCCTCGGAACAAGCAGCTCAGCTGGGGAGCACATCCAAGCTGGATTTGCATCCTGAAAGGCCAGCTTATCATTTCTTAATTCAGCACATTTGCCAAGAGAGAGAACGCTAATGGAGTCCCCAGCTTGCCCCCCGCCCCCGGGAACTGCCCTGGAGGGCTGCGGGCCGTTGTCATTAGGACTGGAGGGTCTCCAGAGCAGCCCAGCTGTGCATGACAGGCAGGTGCACAGGAGCAAATGGGCCTTAGTGCTAAGGCAGCAGAGGGCAGGGGGCCCCAAGAGGCAGCCTTGCAGGAAGCTAGAGTTCCAGGTGAATAACAGAAACAAAGCAGAAGGCCGTTCAGATCTGGACACGGTACAGGCCCCTCACCCCACGAGATGCCTGGAGGGGCACAGCGCCCATCACGTCCCACCCCTCAGAGTTGGAAGCCAATCCCGCCTGCCCGTGAAGGAGCAGCATCTGGACCCCGCTTCCAATAGGAGCCAGAGGTTTAACCAAACCGGCCAGGCCACCTCCTCTGAGAGGCCTTCACCTGGGGTGGGCAGTCACAGTTCCATGAATAACCAATGAGAGTGGGAAACCCCTCTCGAAAATGCGAGCGAGCGCCAACAGAGGGTGTCTGCAGTTCCAAGCTCCCTGGCCCCGAAGTCTCCATGGTGCTGGGTGGGGGCTTCCGCTGAGGAAGCAGGGACAGAATCTGACAGTTCTCGCGGTAGAAACAGCCTTCCTGAGGTTCCGTGGAGGTGGGCTCTTCACTAGACCTCAGAAAAACATTCCCATGTGCCTGGTCTCAGGAGGCATAGGGAGGGAAGCCCAATTCCGATGAGCTGGGGGATGCAGTGCCCACCACCTCCCCCCAGGGCAGCACAGATGCGCCTGCAGTGGGCCTGGGTCCTCCCTGCAGGGAGCAAGCGGCTGAGCAGACCCTGGCCTCAGGGAATCGAAGATCCTCTGACCCTTTGCAACAGCCACGAGGCAAAGGCCCGGGCAGGGACGGTCATGGGGCTGGCGAGGACTCTGAGAACCTGGTAACGAAGCAGCAGAATGGCTCCAGGCACACAGTGCGGGCTGGGAGCTCAGTGGAGCCAGGCGGGTCAGTGCGGAGCCCCGGGAAGTGTGAATGACAGGAACCAGCGGAGCTGAGAGCTGGCGGAGGGCTAGGTCTACTGGGCAGGGTCCCCCCTGTCTGGGATTATTTCCATGCATTTTAAAGGCAAGTTAACCATTTGCATTTTGCGCCTGTTCCAGAGGCCACAAGTTTGGTGGGTGAGGCCACTGGGACCTTCACTTTCCAAGGCTGAAGTACCCACCTTCTCTGGCCTCCTGCCAGACCCCAGGTGAACGGAGCCAGCAACCAGAGGAACAAGCAATGTATCAGCAACAGAAACGAATACCAGGGATGAACCTAACAAGAAACGCGAACCTAACAAGAAACGCGCGAGTCTTGGGACGGAAGGTGACCAGGTCCGGTGAAGGACGCGACCTGGAGACGCGGGGCACTGTCCGCTGGGCGCGGCCAGCATGCTGCAGCGCTCCCCACCGCGTCTCTGCAGGAGCCCTGGCCAGCGGACTCCGACGTCCACCTGGGAGAGGAAATGTGAGTATCTGAGAAAAAGAACATGGAATGGTCGTGCCACAGGGGACGTCACACACTCTGGCAATGTGAACGCGTGTCCCTCTGCCTGGGGAGCTCTGCTCCTTTCGGAGGGGATCCAAATATTTTCTGCAATCAAAGGCCAGAAATTACAACTTTAGAAATTTATTTTTCAGACTGAGAAACCATCTTCTCAGCCTCCAGGACACCTGCTCTTCTGGGGCCAGTGGCCACTGCTCCCTGTGGGCCCACTCCCTCCGTCCAGACACAGCCCCCGCTGACCCCACAGGCCCCTGGGCAGCAGGAGCAGGAGCCAGCAGGAGCCAGCAAAGAAAAAGGAGCTCAAGGAAGAGGGCAGCGTAACTACATGGAGTTGTGAGGGGGTAATTCCTCTTAAGTCAGAAAGTAAATCTTCTATTCTCACTCCCTGAAGTATATAACATATTAGAGAACTTTTTGTACTTACAACAAAACCCGATTTCTCCAGCTGCTGCTGGCCACGTCCAATTAGGGTGGGGGGCCAGCTCCTTGTGACAGGAACCGCGCTGGAGAAAGGCAGGGTGTGCGCTGCTTGCTAATTAGCATGGGCTTGCTGATTAACAACACAAAGTCAGGCTGTCTTGGTCTTGTCATCTGTAATTAGCTAAAGATGTTCAGATCTTCTTTCTTTCTCCTCTCCTTTCCTGAACAGTGAACTGACTTTGGGCCAGAAATCAGCAGGTGAGGGGCTGCGGGCTGTGAGGTGCCAGAGGAAGGGGCCACGCCCGGCCGGCCAGATGGAGGCGGGGAGCATGCAGTCGGGGACCACCCTGAGCCTGCTTCCCGGGGCCCCAGTGCTGGGCGCACCAGCAGAAGGCTGCCACTGGAATGGGTGCGCAGCTGCAGAGCCAGATCGGGGTGGACTCCGGGTCCCCCAGGGAGCTCAGGGCCTCAGTCCCCTCCAGTGTCTTCCTGCAACTCAGGCAGAGCAGAGCAGAAACCGCCCCAACCAGAGGGAACACATTCCACTGGATGCCGCCCCCGAGGAGCCGAGCACAGGGCTGTCACTCCAGACCGCACCCCTGGCCTGGCCTTCAACTCCCCGGGACCAGAAAGCCCCGGGAGGGGTGTGGGAGGGTCTGGAGGGAGAAGAGGCCCCTGGCGCCATGGGTAGTGCGCCTGCCCGCCAGGCGCAGGCGCTGCCACTTCCCATCGTCCCTTTAACTGGGAAGGAGAAGAGAAGTGAAATGAACAAGGTGAGACAGGCTAAAGATTAGACTATCAAAGGCTGAGATTAAAACCTGTCCGCGAGACAGCTGCAGCCAGCGTCCAAAACAAGCGTGAAGACAGCAACACCAGGCCCGAATGGCGTCCTGCTCGCGTGTGCAGGGCCAACACTCAACTCGGGAGGGCCCGGCCCACTTCACCCAAAGCTCGGCAGGGAGCACCTTGGCTCCTGTGGCCTGGGGCGCGTTAGGGCGCCCGGCCCACGGGCAACCCGGCCCACGGGCAGCCCTTCCCTGCCCCAGCTGCCATCAGCACCCCCTGGGGAAAACTACCCCTACCCCACAGTGAATCCGAACTGTCTGGAGGAGGGGCCAGGCATCAGTACTTAAAGTCCTGGAAGCTTTACACACCCTAAGTGAGGAAAACACGGGCCCAGATACAGCCCCAGCCCCTCTGCCTGGCCATGGTGAGGCGGAGGCATGGCCTGCTGCTGGGTCAGAGCACTCCAGTGCTGCCCAGGCCCACTGCGCCCTGAGCGCCAGGATCTGGGGGCCGAGGGCCTGCAGCCTGTCCTTCCTCCCCAAGAATGCATGGTGGGGTTAGCAGTCCGTCCTTTTGCAAACCCCTGGCTGGGCCCAGAGCTTAGGCACCCTGCTTCTGGGGTAACTGGGCAGCTGTGCTGAGGCTGGGGCCTGGCATGTGCTTGGCCTGACGTCATCTCTGTGCCTCTGGCCTGGGCCACAGCACTGAGTCAGCACTGAGGACGCGACGTGCCCACACGCAGGACACTGGGACTTCCCAGGATCTTTACATACCTGGGTCTTCAGAGAGCACCTGCACGCCCCGGGCTTCTCCAAAGCCAGGAAGAAACAGGAGCCTGGACTTGCCAGTGGACGAGGAGGAAACCAGGCAGGTGACCTGCCCAAAACTGCTGCGGGCTGAGCCTGGCTAGGGCACCCCCTTCATGCTCCGTGCTGGACTCCAGTTCACAAAGGCTCCCTGGGGCAGGCACGCTGTCGGCCCGCCTTCTCCCCCGTGTGAGGTTTCCTGACCCGCGGGAGTGGGCAGAGGGCTGTACGCCCGTCCCAGGCCTCCTCTGAGCCGACGCCCTGAGCCCAAGGGAGGACCCGCACGGCACTCTGCACTCAAGGCGGGCGGCGCTGATGGGCAGCCTGGAGCACGCAGACGGAGGGCGCTGGTCGCAGCACAGCCGCACTCAGCACAGCACCCAGCACCCGGCTTCCCCATCACTCACCTGGCCCCCCAGGACGAGGACACCCTCTCCCTCCAGCACCCGGGCCCCTGTGTGACCGCACCATGGCTCTTCCAGCACCACCCTCTCCTGGACAGCCCCCGGGCACACGGCGCACCCCCACACCGCCTGCCTCCCTCCCCCACACCACCACACCCGAGCAGCTCCGCATCCTGCCTACTCTCCTGTGTGAGGACTCGGCCCAGTCACGCTGCCGTCTCCCTAGACCATGGACGAAAGCCTGTCACCAGGCCCACGGCAACTCTGCTCCTCTCACAGCTCCTACTCCAGTGGGCGATGAGGCCGTCTCCGTAGGTGGCACTGCCCTCCCGGGTCCCCTGACACTGGCTGCCCCTCCCCGGCCCAGGTCTGGAGGCTGCAGCAGCCAGATGAGGTTCCAGCCTCAGGCTCTGTCTTCTCTACCTGTGCTTCACTGGCCTTGACTCTGGGGCTCTCGGCCCGACCCCCAATATCCACGGCATCTCGGACCCCCACGTTTCCTTCCAAAAGTGCGCTCCCCAATCTTCCCTGACCCTACGACCCTGTCACTCCTGAACCCACTTCTCAGCATGGAGCCCCCAAAACACCCTCATCTCCTGCTCGCTGGGCTCTGAGCACAGCCAACCCCGGCTCTCAGGTGCTGGGCCTGGGCCTCGGCCGAGTCCCGTCCCTGTCCTCCAGTGTCCCCGCCCTCCAGTGAGGGACGGCAAGGCGGCCCAGCAAGGGCCCGCACACAGAGACGACGCCAGGGCACGCACTTCAACTGGACCTGCTCGTGTCCAGGCATCCCTACGAGGGAAGCGCTGACCCGGAGCAGGGCTCTGACCTGTGCTGCAGGACCTGGGGCCCGACCCGACAGTGGCAGCCCGGCCCCAGCACCTACCAGCCGGCAAGTGGCCAGGGGCAGAGCGGCCACTAACACGCAGACATGCCCTGTGGCTTTCCTGTCCTGAGACCAGGCGCGGCTGCAGCGGCGTGACGGGCTGGTGGCCTGCACAGGACAAGCCTGCTGCAAACGCAAGTCCCCATGTGGTGCCACCCCCGCCACCCCTGCTGGGGTCTTGGGCAGCCACCTGGGGAGAGACCCGCACGCACACAGAGCAGCAGCCTGTCCTGCACACACGCAGGCTGGAGATCCTGTCTCAGTCTGGACTCGCTGTGGTCAGAGCCACCGGGGCTGAGGGCTGCGTGACAATGAGCAAACGGCACAGGCGCCGGGGGCAGGTCCTGACCTTGCGCAGGAAGCATGTCCCTGTCCCCACCTCACATCAAGGCAGCAGACCTGTCTCTGGGAGCCAGGACTCAGCTTCTAGATCCTGCACCCTCTCTGCTCCCGCCCGTGTTTCTGACAACAAGAAGGGACCATGGCAGCCAGGGGCTTACAGGATACGTCATGACGGGGACAAGACCTTCCGCATGGGCCAGGACCCTGGCTTCCCTGTGCACAGACCCCCAAGGGTACAGCTTGGGACTTACCATGTCCGCCCTCTGCTTCTGCCCTCCAAGCTCCTCCAGCGCCTGTGACAGCTGAGCCTTCAAGACAAGACAGACACAAGTCAGTGGACCCCCGTCTCTGCCTCCCATGCCTGATGGGGGCTGGAAAGCAGGAAGTGGCACCTGGGGGAGGGAAGAGAACCCAGGGCAGCTGGGAACACAGGGCTCGCAAAGCCCACTCCCAGGCTAGTCTCGAGAAAGCAACGGCAGAGGCAGCCGTGGCGGGGGCAGAGCCATGAGAGAGCAAAAGAACCGTCGCCTCCTCTGGTCCAGAGGAAGGGGGCCACTGTCCAGGAAAATCCCTGACGTGCTGCCCACTGCCCCCAGCAGGACTCAGACCCAGGCAGAGGACCCAGCCCACGGTGCACAGACATGGCAATGTTCTCCCACCTGGCCAGCGCCAGCTCCTGCCTGTCACGGGACAACACGGGACCAGGGTTCAAGCCTACATTCTAGCAGTGTGACCTCGAAAGGCTGGTGGGACTCAGTGAGGGGCAGAGCGGGGTCTGCAGCTGTCACCCCACAGCATCGATTCAGACAGCCACCCTGGGACAAGAACAGAAAAGCTCGAAGGAACTCAGCTGGTTTGAAAGGATAAAACTGAGAAACCTTCGGCTAGACCAGCTAAGGAAAAGGAAACAGGAGGGAAGGCTCGAACAAACAGAATCAGAAGTGAGAGGGCACATCACCCTCAACACCACAGAAGTAGACTCACATGAACAGGTACAATGACAGCTGGAGAACCTGGCAGACATCGATCAGCTCCCAGGAGCACAGCTGCCAAGGCTGAAGCAGAAAGGAAAAACCTCCCAAAGAAGGAAGGCCCAGGACCAGATGGCTTCACTCGTGAACTCGACCACAATTTACAGAAGACGAACACTCATCCTTCTTAAACTGCTCCAAAAATAAAGGAGGGGAAACGTCCAAACTCATTTTACGAGGGCAACACTATCCTAATATCAAAGCCAGACAAGGATGTCACGAGGAAAGAAAATTACAGGCCAAACTCCCTGATAAACATCGATGCGAAATTCTCCATGAAATATTAACACACTGAATTCAACAATAAAGAGGTCATGCACCGTAACCAAGTGGGATTTAGCCCAGGGATGGTTCCACATCCACAAATCCACATTAACACATGAAGGCTAAAAATCATGTGAGCATCTCAACAGATGCAGAAAAGCATTTGGCAAAATTCAACATTCTTTCATGATAAAAATTAATGAGGTACCAAAGGAATATACTTCAACATAATAAAGATCATATGCGACAGGTCCACAGCCAACATTGTATCAGCGGTGCAAACGCAACGCCTCTCCTCTCAGGTCCGGAGTAAGATGAGGAGGCCCCTCTCACCACCGCTATTCAGCGCAGCCCTGGAGTCCTGGCCAGTCACCAGGCGAGAGAGAGAAGGCATCCAAACAGGAAAGGAAAAAGTAAAATTACCTGTTCGTAGATGACATCATCTTATACACAGAAAACAAGACTTCACTAGAAAACCAGAATTCAGTCAAGTTGGAGGATATAAAGTCAACATACAAAATAGGTGCATTTCTATACACTAACAATAAACTATCTAAGAGACACCAATCCCATTCACAGCAGATCAACGACTAAGGAAGACTCAGAAACACTGTAACCAAGCAGAGGAGAGACCTGCCCACTGATGACAGACACTGAAGAACGTGGGAGACACCTTACATTCAGGAACTGGAAGAAGTAGTGATGTTGAAATGTCAGCTACAGATTCAATGTAATCCCTATCAAAACCCCAACGGCAATTTTGACAGAAATAGCAAAAAGCAACCCTAAAATCCTTACAGAACACCACGGAAGACCCCAGAGTCAAAGCAATCTTGAGGAAGAAAAACAAGGCTGGAGGCATCACACATCCTGATTTAAACTGTACTACAAAGCTACTGTCATCAGAACAGCGTAGCACTGGCAAAAAAAGAAACACAGACCAGTGGAACTAACGGAGACCAGAAGTAAAGCCACACACGGACAGTCACCTAACACTTGACATGGTGCAGATGGTACACAATGGAGGCAGGACAGTCTCCTCACTCAGTGGTGCCGGAAAACTGAAGCCCTATCACATACTATGTACAAAAATCAACGCAAACCAGATGAGAGATTGAAACCATAGGATGCTTGGAGGAAAACTGAACAGAGCTCTTTGATGTTCATCTTGGTGATGACCTTCTGGAAACGACCCCAGAAGCAGAGGCAACAGGAGCAAACACAAACAAGTGGGGCCGCATCCACCCGAGAGCTACTGCATGGCAGAGGAACCATCCACAGGACAAGAGGCCGTGGGAGACGACATCTGTGCCACACATCGCACAGGGGTTAACAGCCCATATTTATCAGGAACTCTTACAACTCAACAGCAAAAGAACAAATGCCCATTAGAAAATGGGCCAAGGATCTGAAAAGAAAGTCAGGAATGGGTGAATAAAGGAAGCGAGACCCAAAAGAAGACCCTGCACAACATCACTTCTGTCTGGACACCTGAGGACGCTGAGCGCGCAGGAATGTGGGAGAATGGTGGCTAAGGGTGGGAGCGGCTGGGAGGGACAGACGGCAGGTGTCCGTCAGACACACACTCCTGTGGTGTGGTGCAGAGCTGGAGACTCAGTGGACAGCATGACAACTAGTTAGTCGTAACTATCATGTACTTGAAATCTGGTAAGAAAGTAGCTCTTCCAGGTTCTCGTGAAAAAAAAAAAAAAGGAATCGTGCAGGGAATGGCCATGTAAATTAGCTGGCTGCAGTCACCGTTCCACAGTGCACATGTGCGTGAACACATCCAAGGCACAGTGTGTGTGCAGCCACGCCTCGGCCGAGTGGGGTCAGGGCCTGCGGGTCAGGTGCCTGCTCTGTCACGCTGGGAGGCACGCAGCAGCTCAGGACCCGGAAGCCAGCCTTCTGCCGCAAGGTGTCTGTACAGGCCGGCCAGCCTCGTGACGCCCTCCTGCACAGACATCGCTGCCCGAGTCCCAGGGCCGGTGCAACCCCCAGTGCAGAGCACGGCACCGCCTTGAGTCCTGCAGGTCTGTCCTGCTGCGTCACCAAGGGTGCCCGTGCACTGCATCCCCGGAGCCCAGGCCACCCTTCCTGTCCTCTTTCCTGCACTTCCCTGTGCGCCCAGCTCAATCTTAACTCTGCTCAGGGCTCGCCTGTGCTCTGGTCCTTCCCCAGGTGACAGCACTCACAGTAACTAAGGACAAGCACGGCCCGGCGAACCGCCCAGCGCTCAGAGCTGACAGCTTCTGGAGCGTCTGTGCGCACGGCCGCCTGGCAGGAGGATGTGCTGTTCTCTGCGCTACCCAGACCGCCGCAGCCTGAAGCCGCCAGCCAGCAGCACCGTGATCTGTTTGAACTACAGACATAAAGACACTGGAGAACAGATGGGCCAGGTGCCGAGTCGAGGTGGCACAGGCTTCCTAGCCACAGCCCACGGCGGAGGAGGGCTCAGGACACAGGGCCCCGGCTCCGGCAGCCACTGATGAGATGGGATAAATGCTACCCCTGCAAAATGGCACAGGCTTCTCCAGAGATAAGCCACTGGGGCCCTCCCATGATCAACACATCCACTTGGTTTACAGAAATGTTTTTTGCCGGAATCAAAACGTGTTCCACATCAAAACCAACTGATTAGGCTAACCCAGCGAGACATGTGGCCTGAAGAGCTAGGTGCGACTTCCAACGCCCTGCGCCTGTGGTTCCCGCCCTTTCTCCCGGGGACAGGCAGGCATCAGCCGCAGCGCAGAGGGTGAGGCAGGCCCTGGCTGCCATGGCGGTTTGCACCAGCAGCAGGGCCCTATGACGAGGGGCTGACACGGGGTGTGCTGTCTCGGCCTGAACCACGTCCAGCCCCACCCGTTTGGTCAGTCAGGTCTCCTGCACACAGCCACACCCACCATATTCCCAGCTACAGCGGAGCTGTGTGGACGGGCCACGACCGTGTGAATACACAGCCACAGCAGTGCTGCTGGCCCCTTCCGGGTGGAGCCTGCTGATGCCCGAATGTGAAGACCAGGAGCTTGGGGGTGAGGGATGGACGGGGAGACGCCATGGAGGAGAGAAAGGGGGGAGAGCTATAAACAGATTGACATGAAGAGAAAAGACGGGTGGAGGTGGGGGAGACAGAGGGCCAGGGTCCCCACGTCCATTAGCCGGAGTCCCACACGGCCAGCGACAGCCCTCCCTCACAGCCTGGACCCAGCGGCGAGGAGTCGAGGGCTGCGGGGTGTCTCCCTGCATGCACCTCGCACTCCTGCTGCTCACTCCGCACCCGTGCGCCAGGGGCCTGCATTGGGCGCGAGTGACGGATGAGCTGTCTGGAGGGCACTATGGAGCTGTTAACAGATGAAGTCTAGGAAGCTCTCTGGTTTTCACTGTGTCGACATGTGCTGCTCGACTAATGAACCGCTCACAGGCAGCTCCGAGCAGCTTTTAGAGCTCTCCACGTGTGGGCGGTGCTCAGAGGGTCCGGCACACAGATTCCGCTTAATAGAACAGGAACAGGAAACCCCTCCCCGAAGCCTGGAGAGCACCAGTCCGTGGCCTGCAGGCCTGCGGTCCAGCATGGGCTGCCATGACCTGCAGGGTGAGGACAAAGCTGGGGTACCTGCCAATGTGTTCCCTTCCTTGGGGCTGCAGAACCAGGCAGTGCAGGCGGCCCCAGCACAGGGGCCCCTCCTGCTCACTAAGGGGCGCTGGGAATAGGAAGGCAGAGCTCAAGCCTGGTGATGAGGGCAGCACCCAGGGCCTGGGGAGAAAAGTTCGAGGCTGTCCCTGGAGCACAGCCCCTCCTCCCAGGTGAGACAACTGGTAGCCCAGAGACAGACATGGGGTGGTGTGTGAGCCTCGGCCTGAGCCCCAGCTGAGTCAGGACTGGCCTCAGTCCCCTCAACTGCAGAGGGACACAACAGTCCCTGCTCTTGAGCAGCCAGCACACACATGAGGGGTCAGACCAAGTGCAGGGAGCTGTGGGCCCAGGGTTGGCCTTGGCGTGGCCCTGGTGCCTTGTGGAGCAAGGATGCCTCTCCCAGCGTCTGCTGTGGGCTGCGGGGTGCTGGGCAAGAGAGGAGGTCTGGAGGAAGGGTCGGCCCTTCCCTCTGAGGCTGCACACCCTGCAGAGTCCAGGTGAGACTGACCACAGTGCTCAAGGTGACAGACGTGGTGCACAGGAAAGAGGGAGCACTTCCCAGGCCCCTCCCCGTGCCGCCCACACCTCCTCTTGCAGAGGTGCTGCCCAGGCTGTGCTGCCTGTGTCTCCTTGTGGGTCGCTCCTAGCGATGAGGCTGCCCTCGCTCTGGCTGCCACAGACGCGGGCCCCAACCCACACTGACCCTTGTCCTGATCCGATGAGCAGCCCTGAGAGCAGGGGCCCCTCTGCTCCAGCAGCCAGCACGTAACTAGACTCGGGTCCTGGCTGTGGCAGGAGCGCTGGGGCCCCTGCAGATGGCTACCCCCTGCAGCTTCTCCCCAACAGAGCACCTGGGCACCAGGCAAACAGCCCTCCCAGCCCACCGTGTGTGTCTGGCTCCCACCTTCCCTCTTTGGGCTGGGAGCAGCAGGGCCGGGCCTCACTGAGCAGGCGGCCTGTGCACATGGGCCTGCACAGGTCAGGTCAGCAGGTGACTGGGGGGAGGAGATGGACGGGCAGCAGCAGGAAGGAGGGGGAGGGGCGTGGGGGAGGGAGAGGGAGAGTGGGGAGGGAAGGTGACATTCTCCTCCCAGCGCAGGTTCCAAGAGAGCCTTGCAAAGGAGAGAAGAGGTCTGCCTTGTCCTGTCCTGTCCTGTCCTGTCCGCGGCTCCCTCCATACAACCCCATCCCACCCTGGCCGAAGAGCAGGGCCCGCTGGGTCTGTCTGCTGCCACCTGGTGGAGGCCAGGAAGCATACAGCTGTCAACAGGAGTGGCCCAGGTTTGACCCCCTGGGGAGCACCAACTCCAGTCCCAACCTCTACTTCCCAAAGGGGTTTGGCTGTCTACTTCCAATACCTAAAGGCAGTCAGCCTCTCCTCACCAGAGGGCTGACACTCCACAGGGCCAGGAGACAGTGCCCACTGGCCTGACCCAGGAACGCCTGGCTGCCACCCCATATACTCTGGTCCTCCCCCCGGACAGCAGCTCAGGCCCAGGGGGGTTCTTGTGGAAGTTCAAGAGGGCCTGTTGTGTAGAACAGATTCAGAGGGTGCCTGGGGAAGGGCAGATGGCAGGGATAACCACCCCTTCCACAGACCCCAGCAAGCAAGAGCCACGGCCCCTTGACCCCTGGCCACGCCTGCCTTGCTGGGAGGGCGGGGCCTCTGCTCCACAGCTGGGATGGCCACAGAACCAGCAAAGAGCACCCAGGCTGGCTCCTGGGAACCACAGCCTCAGGGAGGGTGGGCTTTGGGGGGAAGGAGCTGGGGTGGGGGTCTACATCACCAGGAAGATCTGGGGACAGTGTGGCCTGGGGGAAGGGGAGGAAGGCAGCCAGGGCCATCAGCACGAGTGTCCAGGAGGAAGCGGAGAGGTGGGAGCCGTGGTGTGGCGTGGACAGCACATGAGCTCCCGTGGCCACGCCTGTGACAGCGAGGAGCACGTGGATGGTGGTGAAGCCAGCCAAGCCTGGGGCACCCTCCACCTCCCGAATTCTCCCATCACTCCAGGGGCAGATGGAAGGCGAGGTGACTGCCTGCGGCACTGCTGGCCATAGAAGTCGGGGACTTTCTCTGCTGAGACGGGGACCGTCCCAGGCAAAGCAGGCTGGTGACCCCCGTGCAGGTGGGACTGGAGAGTGAAGACAGAGGAGGCGGCGGGATGTCTCCCAGCTGCCTCCGACCCCATGGGAGGCTAGATCCCGGCTGGTGGCCCGTGCAGGTGGGACTGGAGAGTGAAGACAGAGGAGGAGGCGGGCGTCTCCCAGCTGCCTCAGACCCCATGGGAGGCTAGATCCCGGCTGGTGGCCCGTGCAGGTGGGACTGGAGAGTGAAGACAGAGGAGGAGGCGGGCGTCTCCCAGCTGCCTCCGACCCCATGGGAGGCTAGATCCCGGCAGCCAGCTCAGGGCTGTGGCAGAGGTGAGACAGGGTGACCAGGCCGGGCAGTGAGCTCCGAGGACGCTGCCAGCCCTCACCACCAACACACAGACAACTGGACACAGGGCACTAGGGGGCAGGACAGAGCCTGATGAGGTGAGGGGCGGGGCCTGTGTGGGCAGCGCTGGGACAGCCCAGGAGCCGCCCTGCACCACCCCCACTGAAGCGCCGTAGGTGTGCTGCCTCGGAGCGGCCATCAGGGCACTGACCCCATGGAGGCCCACGCAGCAGCGGGAGGAGGGTCTGCACTGGGCAGTCCCAGGGAGCACACTCACCTCCATCTCTGAGCTGTGGGCATGCACTTTTTGCACCATGTCCTCCGCCTCGCGCATGCGACGGGTCAGCTGGGGCGAGTACTCGGCCGGGGTCAGCTCGCTGTCGTAGGAGCCCAAGATGGCACGCATACCATCCCGCTCCTGTGGGCAGAGGGCAGGGGTCAGGCCCAGGGTGGCGGGGGGTGTGATGCTGGCGGGGCAGTGTGACGAGATGCCGCGTGGAGACGGGCAGGGTGTGGGCTGCAGACAGGAAGGGCGGGCCGTCAGGGCTCCCGCGGCTCCTGGGCTCCACCTGCACATGGCAGCTCTGACTGCCCGGGCCAGCCTGGCCTCCACGGGCCTCCGCTGCTCAGGAGGGACGCCCAAGCTCAGCCAGAGCCCAGGAGTCGGGCTGGGTGTGGTCTGGGCACCCACTCTGACCGCCTGGCATTGAGCTGCAGGGTCACAGAGACCACAGCCCAGTGGTCTGCTGTGTCCCCAGCTGGGCAGAAGGTCTCTACCTGGTCACAGCCAGTGTCCTGGGTTAGCCTGACTCCCTGAGTCTCATCAGTCAGGCCTAGGAAATCACTGGTGGGACCTGGCTAGGACGTGGTGGGAGTACCTTGCCTCTGGTGACCCATGACATTTGACCCAGTACACTCAGAGCCAGGTTCCAGGAGGGAGAGTCGCCGGAGCAGGGAGGCAGTGGTAGGCAGAGACGTGGGCCCCACATCTCCCCCACCTCCCAGCGCTCTCTGCAGGGTCCCAGGTCCCACGGAGCTCACACACAGGGCGCTGATGGCCACAGCCACACCGAGGCTGCGGGAGGTGCCAGGGCCAGCACAGCCCGGGAAGGAGACCCACTGGGCCGGTGCTCGCCCCGCCTCAGCGCCGTCAGTGAGGTGGGGGCCAGTGAGTTTCCGAGGGCACTGTGAGACTGGTACCACGACTGCGAAGCATCCGAGTGCTGGGCTTGGACGAGGCCCTCATGATGGCCACAGAGCCATCTCCTCCTCATGGGCAGACAGACTTCTGCGTTCTGATGGGTGCATCCCTTCCCATGGAGTCGGGGGCCAGGTGCTGAGAAAGGTGGTCCAGCCCTGGCTGCAGCCCCTGCCCCCGGGCAGGGCGCCCAGGCAACCCACAGACCCAAGAGCGAGACCCTGCACCGCCCTCCCAGCTGTGGGCAAGGTCCCCTGGCTGGGCGTCTCTCCCCTGGCAGAGACCCATCTCAAGCTCCACTCCTGCAGCACGCATGCCGCCCCAGCCCCCCCTCAGGTGAGACTACAGGAGGGTGCAGGTGGGCACGGGCCTCCGCCTTCTCCAGAGCCCAGCCGACCTGCTCCCCCAGGCCTCTGACTCAGCCTCCCCCAGCACTGCGCTTCATAATTAGTTGATGACAAAAAATTCAATAAGTGAGAAATTAAAGTTACAAATCCAACTGGAACTGGTCACATATCCATGGAAAATTTGTTTCCACAGGAAGGTTTATCAAGTGTCACAATTTTATTGAAACCCTCTGTCTTCCCGTTGACTGTTATGGTTTCGAGCTAGTTACCGAGCAGTCTCGCCAGGCCGGGAGGGCTCCTTCCGCGAACAAGCTGTGATGGGTGCTTTTATTGACCATAAATCCCCCACATCGCCCGCTCTCCTGCTCCATCGCAGGCGAGCTGTGGCCGGCAGAGAGGAAAATGTAAAATTGAAAGTTGTTTGTACCTTTTAGAGAAATTGTTTGGTCATTGAACTGTGCTAGTTTGATTGGATAATGACTTTTTAATGACTGGTTCCACTTGGGGGAAAGTTTGCTTCGTTTCCACTTGAGAAGGAGCGGCGACTGCGCGCAGAACAGCAGGCGCCCGGCCGCGGGGGAGCACACTCCCCCGAGGAGGCACAAACAGGTGGCATTTCCTGGGCACCTCCCGGGTGCAGGGCAGGCTGCTGTCACATTTGCTCATCGCATGACCAATGGCAACTCAGAGAGCTGGGGAGGGCATCACGCATGAGAAAATGAGCTGAGGACTTGGGGTGGAGGGGGCAAGGGAGGGTGCCTGACCCACCGCTCGCCACCCGGGTGCCCATCCAGAGGAGCCAGAGGGGGAAGGCGGTCCACCTGCCTCCTGCCTGTCCCTCACCTCAGGTCTCAGCTCCAATGACGCTCAGTCCCAGACACGCAGGTCCTCCCCTCGGGGCAGCCAAGCCCAGCACACCTCCCCACGCACAGCACCGCACACAGGGCATCCTCCGCCTTTCCTTCCACAACTCAAGCCCCAAGAGGGAGGCATCCTGACCCAGGCCCTCACCATTCACCCCCCGTGCCTGGTGCAGCCCTAGACGCATGGGATTGGAGGAAGGAGGAGATTCTCTCCATGTTGGTCACACGTCCCAGAGGCTGTAGCTCAGCAGCAGGGAGGGAGGGTTTTCTGCACATGTGGTCTCAGGCTAGCCTTTCCTGCAGGCAGCGGAGGCTCACGTGACTCCAGACCCTGCGGCTCTGCTCTGGGCGCAGGGAAAGCTGGGCACGGGGAGCACACGGCTCTGCTCTGGGCGCAGGGAAAGCTGGGCACGGGGAGCACGTGGTTCTGCTCTGGGCGCAGGGAAAGCTGGGCACGGGGAGCACGCGGTTCTGCTCTGGGCGCAGGGAAAGCTGGGCACGGGGAGCACGCGGTTCTGCTCTGGGCGCAGGGAAAGCTGGGCACGGGGAGCACGTGGTTCTGCTCTGGGCGCAGGGAAAGCTGGGCACGGGGAGCACGCGGTTCTGCTCTGGGCGCAGGGAAAGCTGGGCACGGGGAGCACGCGGTTCTGCTCTGGGCGCAGGGAAAGCTGGGCACGGGGAGCACGCGGCTCTGCTCTGGGCGCAGGGAAAGCTGGGCATGGGGAGCACGTGGTTCTGCTCTGGGCGCAGGGAAAGCTGGGCACGGGGAGCACGCGGCTCTGCTCTGGGCGCAGGGAAAGCTGGGCACGGGGAGCACACGTTCTGCTCTGGGTGCAGGGAAAGCTGGGCACGGGGAGCACGCGGCTCTGCTCTGGGCGCAGGGAAAGCTGGGCACGGGGAGCACGCGGCTCTGCTCTGGGCGCAGGGAAAGCTGGGCACGGGGAGCACGCGGCTCTGCTCTGGGCGCAGGGAAAGCTGGGCACGGGAGCACGCGGTTCTGGAAGGGGACGAGGCGGCTCCACGGGAGGCAGGCAGAGGCAGAGGCAAGCACAGGAAGGGGCGGCTTCTGCTGGAGTGCGTGTGCTTGTGTGTGCGTGTACGGAGTGACCTCCGCCAGGCAGGGCCTCACTGTCCCCCTCATTCCCAGTGGCAGGCAGAGAGCAGCTGTGTTTCAGATGGTTCCAGCCCTCACAGCCCCACGCCACCCGCAGCAGAGCCCCGACCAGCCCGGAGAGCTTGGCGCAGTGACAGGGTGGCTTCACTCGCGCCTTCGTCCACACTCACGAACACGACTCAAGCCTTGGTCTGAGCATGGAGGAGCCCCCGTGCCAGGTTTGCATGGGGAGGGTGAGGTGCAGCCCCCCCTTCCCTCCCCCCCCTTCCCCCCCCCCCCCCCCCCGCCTCCCAGTGCTGGAGAAGGAGAGCAGACACAGGAGGGCACCAGGGGCGGCTTCAGGAGGGAGCAGCTGAGCCCACAGATAGCGAGCGCACCCATAGGAGAGCAACAGAGGAGGGTGATCTTCCTCAGCTGGTCCTCCAGGTGAGCTGATTAACACCGAGCTGTGAAGTCCCGCCCACAACACACCAAGGAGTCTGCTCACGAGAGGGGCAGGCAGCGCCCTGCAGAGGCCACGGAAGCACTGGGGGTGGGGAGCTTAAGCAGTGGGTGCCCTGCACACCCCTGGACACCGTGCTCCCACCAGGAGGGCGCTGGCCCAGAGCCTGGCCCTTGGAGGAAGACTGCAGCCCAAAGCAGTGGGCGAGGGGAGGGAGAAGCGGAAGAAACGCGAGCCCAGGGCAGCTCCCACAGCAGACGCGGCCGGGCCCAACTCCTGCTTCACGACGAGCTGTGTGGCCTCGGGAAAGTGCTTGGCCTCTCCGAGCCACAGGCCCTCAGGCCCCTGCAGTGCACGTGCAGACGCTGCGAAGTGCTCCCGTGCAGGTGCACGAGGAGCCGCGGCCCTGCTCCCTGCGTTCCTTCTGGCAGGACAGCAGCAGGCAGGACAGCGGTCGGGCCGCCGCAGAAGCCCTGCCTCAGTAACTCAGAGCCCGCTTCCGGGTGAGGAAACAGGGACGCAGGGCACGCCCCGGTCCCAGAGCCCGGAGGTCCGGGCCTGCCACCCACCCCGCGTGTGTGGGCACACAAGTGCGCCTGCCTGCTCTCCATGGCTCCTCCAGAAGGGGCGCAGGCCTCACTTGTTTTCACTCTCCTGCCCACCCCCACCGCTGCCCCACCACAGCCGCTGGCCTGATTCACTCTCTTGCCACCCACTCCGTTCTGAAAGCGCTCCCCAGGGACTGCCAGGCGACATTCTCGGTGGCACTTCCTCCCAGGCGCCTCCCACCCCCAGACCCAGCTCCAGGCACACTTTTCTTTGAACAGGTGCTGCTCTTCTGCTTCCTCCCTGTGCCTCCAGCCTGCCCCAAGCCCACCTGCAGATGGCGGGAGCCCGAGGTGAGGATCCCTGGGTCACCTCCATCAGGGCCTTCTCCTTCCTCGAGCGTCAGGAGGGGCAACAAGCCCCAGCCCAGGGCTGTGGGTAGCAGGAAGTCTGCCGGGCAGGGTCAGAGGCTCCTCGGGGGACCAGGGGATGGAGGCCACACCTGGCGGCATCACCCCTATTCCAGAGCCAGGAAGAGCTGTGTGCCGTCCTGTCCACAGCTGACCCCAAGGACTGGCTCCTGTCCCCGTGAAGGCTGCCCCGCAAGAGGAAAGCCTGCCTCCCAGGAACCAACCCACACCTCGAACCCAGAGGGACGGGCCAGCCCTGGGCAGGCGTCCCCAGGGGGAGTGAGAGCCGGGAGGAGGGAAAAGCCAGAAACAGAGCCAGACACGGCCCGTGCTGAAAAAGGCGCACCCCGTCCAGGCCTCCAGCTGCAAGCATCCAGGCCTGAGGGTCACAGCAGCAAAACCACAGGGATCAGGGGACATGGACCCACACAGCTCAGGTCACAGGAGACTCGGAACAGAAAAACGTGTGTGGGATGCTCAGGACCACAAAGAAGGGCC